GGGATGGTTGCAAAACGGGAGGGATGGGGTTTGTGGTCGAAAACACTCACGGTCTGCTTCCTCTGGGGATGGTTGCAAAACGGGAGGGATGGGGTTTGTGGTCGAAAACAGTCACGGTCTGCTTCCTCCTGGCTAATGTGCCAAATTGATCTATTGCATGATTGAGGCATGCTGTTTCACTTTTTTGTGTGTGAATCCGTGAAAAGGGAGGTAAGGTTTGGGGGAACGGAGCATGCCCCTGAGCCCAAGGTGAGACCAGAGTGGCCCCTTTCATTGAATTTGTGAAAAGGGAGGTAGGGTTTGGGGGTACGTAGCCTGCCCCTGAGCCCAAGGTGAGACCACTTTCATTTTTTTACTTTACTCTTCCAATTTGCATCATATACATGGACACAAATACAGAGAACAATTTTTTAAAGTAAAGAACATTTATTATTATAATCTGGTATATACATTAAAAATGTCTTTTGGTTGCATTATGTTTTGAACAGAGGCATTTAAACAATTTTTTTTTGGGGGGGGTAAAGAAGTGAACTATGCACATTTTTTGCAGTTGTACTCTTTCTTGTCATCAGTCAGGTAGTCTTGATTGGTTCCTTCTGTAATGCAGGGCATATGTGCCCACCTCTTGCAAGAATCACAGTGTACCTTTGATAAGTAACAATTAAGAAATGAAATCACAGAAGTTATAATGTTACACATACTTTTCATTCACTCATGCTATTCCTTCCACATGTCAGCATTACCTAACGTATGTATGCCTATCAGCATGAAGAAAATGTTTACTGATGTGGATTTTTTACAAGAATCATGATCCTTAGGCAGTTTATGGCATTTATTTCTCATATAATTCTATGTTTCTTACCATCGTGCAATCCTCACTTTCCTTTTCACAGTTGACGAGGTTGCAGTATATGCAGTAGTCTTCCACGTTTTCTTAAAAATATATATATCGTTATGAAATGATGAATACATTATGACCAAAACTGAAAATGCAAATCTTCATTTATTAATTAATGTCAAAATTTTAATCCAGTCAATGGTTTGAACGTATCTTTTCCTTTTTTGTGACTCATATTTTCTCAAATTTTTAGTTTACTGCCCCTGTATCTAAAAATGCCAATTTCATTTAGCTGGCCGATCAATAGCAATCATCATTCACCTGATTCAAATTTTTGTGTACTTAAGGATATTATTGGTTCATAGTCACCATTACAGAACCAAACCTGTGAGATATCCCACTTTAGAGGTATTAAGATAACTGTCTGCTATGTGACATAATTCCACTCTTCATGTTATCTTCACATGTGCCTAATGAGACAACAGTACATGGTAGAAAGTAATTACCTGACTCCTTCATTAGAAGAATTGCTATATGTCTTCTAAATGCAATATTAGCCTCTTGTGTTGTTTCTACCATACTGATGTCTTTGTGCTGCAAATTATGCTTCTGCAAACTAACAACACTGATATTTAGAATAAACATCATAATTACCAGAGGTGAAAGTGGGCCGGTTCAGCATACCGGTAAGACCCATCCACTTGTACCGGCCCATACACGGCTGACGTTACACTTCCGCTGTGGTAGTGCTTTATGCTTTAATGTCGCTGCCCCCTTTAGCACCCTCCCCCGCCCCCCCGCATCAGCGGCCCTGCCATAGGGTCCGGCAATGCTGTTGGATGCTCCTGGCAGGGCTGCCGACAGTGCGGGAGCAAAATGTGCCCTGGGTTCCGGCGATTTACAAGGGCCTGGTTCCCCTGGCCACTGCAGCAGCAGCTGTGAGGAAGGGCTGGCTGGTGGAATCTGGCCCCCCAGCACTGCACCTTCCGCTGGAGACCCCATCCCTTCTGGGGGCCACAAGCCCACCCCACACACCTTGGCAAGGACGCTGGTGCAGTGCCCACTGGTAGTCTCCGGCATTTACTTTCACCCTGGATAATTACACAAACATAACAAATAATAATGGCAATTTGGTATTCAATACCTTTAAGATGAGTGGTCCGCAGTTGTGGCCATCACTTTGTCTGGGATGATGATCAATTTTACTGTTCCAATCAGATGAGGATTTTCTAGTTAATCGTTTGATGAAGTTTCTGAAATTTTTAGAGAGTACATTAGCAGACTGCATAAATGAGCTTTGCTTTCCCTTTTTTCCCCCTCCGGTTTATGGACATAGATAAAAATCCATTCTATCTCTTTTTAATTAATTATGGAAATTACTTATTGCTCACGTATATACACACTTTCTTTCATATTATTGTCTCACTCTTACACAATGTATCACCTGATTTGCTGTGACCCATGTTGATAATAACACATTCTCAATCATGCAACATGCTACTGTTTCGTGTCCACATTCTGTGAAGTCGTTCCCCAGAGTCAAATCACACAAGTTCACTCAAAGTCCATTACTAGGCATATTCAGTACAAGTACATGCTGTTTCAATTTTTATTTGTAGCTAACAGGAAGATATTAGTCTCACAATTGTTACATTCCCTTCAAAAAAAATTTCAATGGAACAGTTAATGTCCACTGTAAAAGTAAGTATCTAATAAATCACCTCCAATTCCTCAGGCATGTTCCTTCATATCTCATCTCATCACACAAGGGGTCAATTATTAACAATTCTTTTTTTTTCCATCGAGGCTATCTGTGAGTTTAAATATATTCACAAATTATATTGGTAATGTGATTATTTCAAACATTTTATAATGATTTATCAAAAATCATTATGCAATGAACATATTTTCGTTTGTAATGTCTCAGTAAAACAGAAGAGAAAAGCATATTGTGAAATCATTGATCAATTCATTACAGAATGTATTCTTCCAAGTTACACTCACAACATAACTTGACAGTAGCATTTTATTTTTAACATTCACATTCCACTTTCATTTGCATGCACTGAACTCACTGAAAACCCGCAACACGGGAAATTATATCACTGCTACCATAGTTGGGTTACAAATCTCTTATTTATTATAACATTTATTGACCATAATCCACAACTGCAATACAAAACATCTTACCGCAAGAACCCAATGACCTGGTGTGTGGTAAGGAAGCAATAATATATCATTTTGAAGTAATTCACTCTGTATTTATTAAAAAAAAAATAATTAGAAATGCAATTATAGTTTCCAGTGAAGCAAACAATGAAATGTACATTATACTGTATTTCCCAGTTTCATTACATGTATTGTTATTAGACTACTCCTCCACATCAAACACACCATTGTATTTGCTGTTTCACACTGTGTTTAACCCACTGAATGAAATTGTGCTTTGCTCATGCTATGTATGAAAGTGTGTTAGCATTTACCTTCACTTTCATTTGTGGAGCTCTGCCTGAGAGAATGACAGTAGAAACTACTGATGAGATGGCTTGTACCTGTTGACATTCAACAAAGTTATTAATGCATTAATAACACTGGTCTACAATTTTTGAGAAGTCGTCTGCTTCAGAGATAAAATGTGCTATTTATTATGTATTTTGATGTGCTGAATTCAAATATGACAATTAAAACAACTGATTGGCTACTGTTTCTAAGATATTTAAGTTTTTACATTTTATGTCTATGTATATTGTGTAGATAGTAGAGTTTTAATCATAAATTGTAAACCTAGGTCTTTTCATGTGTTTATGGTTGCTTTACATGATAATATTTCACCTGTCCTGTTTATGTAACACTTTAATAATCAGCAAAAGGGTTATATAAATAAAATTTATTATGAAACAAAAGGCAAAAAACTATTATGTACATAGTTTAGTCCTATTCAGTGTCTACTCGGCACTTCTTGGCTTGTCTCTTGTATTCATTAAATGGAGCATCTCTTGTCACTGTCCAGCAATAGTCTGCAAGCATTGATGGGCTCCATTTGCCCTGATAGCGTTTCTCCATTCTTGCAATGTCCTGGTGAAATCGCTCGCCGTGCTCGTCGCTCACTGCTCTGCAGTTCGGTGGAAAAAAATCTAGATGAGAGTGCAAAAAATGTATCTTTAGTGACATGTTGCAACCAAGGCTTTTGTATGCCTTGAGGAGGTTTTCCACCAACAACCTGTAGTTGTCTGCCTTGTTGTTTCCAAGAAAATTTATTGCCACTAACTGGAAGGCTTTCCATGCCGTCTTTTCCTTGCCACGCAGTGCATG